TTTAAGGCTTAAATTCTCTTCCAAGAGGCATTTTAAATATGCATAAAAAACTTCTTAATTCTGATTTCAAAATGAGAGTGGAATGGGAAAATTTTGATTAAACCGTGTTAACTGACCAACTAAGAAACCTACGTACCAAGTTTCAGCAAAAACGGACAGAGAGGCAGTCACCCGAATTTCAATTTTTTTCATCGGCCTGATCATTTATAATATTTATATAACCCTACATCTATTTCGATTAGTTTTAGGTGATACGTACAATAGTTAGGTGAACAAAACTATAATAATCTTTAGCAACCGTTTGCAAGAGTTTAAAAATGTTCGAATTGCAGCGGTTTAGTAATTTTATTATTTAGATATTGAAATTTTTCAATAAAAATAAATAATAAATTTATTCTTCACACTTACGTATGCTTGCGCAATACAATGAAAAATATAACACATATATTGTAAATCAATGCCTAAATGTAGGCAAGGTTTTAACAGCAGATTACCACTTTCACTTACTCGCTGTGGCAAGTGTTTAATTGTAACTCATATTTTGTATTGTTTATATTTAATTTAAGTAATTATTACATACATATATTTATATAGAAAAAATAAAATTTAGACTATTGTATATTAATTCAAAAACAAATTTTTGAGGAATAAATATTTTTTAATATGTGGCGTTCTCGAGAATTTATTCTGAGATATTTTTAACAAAAATAGAATAGCTGCAATTTCAGTAAAATTATGTAAGCATTTTTCTTATTTCAAAAAAATTAATAAATATATACATACATACATATGTATATCCGTATCTCTCAACCACATTTTGAAAAAGCGGCTTTCGTGCCTTAATTTATTTCAAAGCTAACTTTTTTCACCAGTGTCAATAAAAAAATATTGTTTCGCTTCAAAATAAGTTAGACGTCAAAAAAACTTGCAAGCAGTTAAATTCCGTAATAGTTTCAATATGTCGATTTGCTTCATTGAAGCAAAATATGTGATCAAGCATGAAGAGAGACATGCAATCATTTACAATTAGGGTGTGTGTGTGTAACTTTAAACATATGTATACATTTATACATACATACCATGTATGTATGTCTATATTATAGGTGTCATTTTTACATGCCTATGTATGTACTTTCATAGAGCTGCAACACATGTAGCTGCTGTCAAACAAATTATAGAATCCGCCACCAACAGACTTGCGTCGACAAATTGAAGTTCGAAATGTGAAATTTGAATTTATAATGTTGCTCCACCTAATGAGTGAAATGCTGTTTGTAACGGCGTTTGAGTATATGTGTACGAGTATGCATCACTTCTATCTCATCTAATGTATGTATATAAATAGCATTAATTAGTTTTAAATTGCTTTATGGTCCCACCCCTGGAAGACCAATAAATAGGGGAAATCTTATGAAAGATTCTATTAACAATTTAAAAAGAGATTAGTTATTTAAAGTATTAATTCGTTAAGGGTGGCGTTTCGATATAAAAAGTTGAATTTTATAGAAGTATTTACAATCACATAGTATAGTATATAGTATGTTTTTTAATACAAAAATTTTTTTAATGAAATCTCTTATAAAAGTTCCAAGAGACAGGAAATTCATGAGTTTTTTCTTCCGCTGATAATTCAAAAAAAAAAAATATTTAATTTTGAATAACTACTTGTTCTTATACGTACCTTCAAATTACAATT